GAAGGAAAAGAGAGGAAGGAAGGAAGAGAAGGGAAAGAGAGAAAGAAAAGGAAGGAAAGAAAAGAAAAGGAGGAAAGAAGGAAAGGAGGGAAAGAAAGAGGGCAAAGAGATGGGGAGAAGGAGGGAGGCTCTCCCACCCAATCAAGCCCCTGCCACCCTTACCCCCCACGGATCCCTCACTCACCTGGGGAGGCGATGAGGGGGCTTCTTCAGCGCTCCAGCATGGGCTGGAAACAACGGGAAGCCTCTTCTGGCCTCCCACGGGCCGCAGCGCTCCGGTGCAGCCCCGGGGAGGTGGCAGGGACCCTCTTTTGGCCTCCTAAGGGCCACAGCACTCTGGCGGGGCCCGGGGAGGTGGCAGGAGACCCTTTTCTGGCCTCCCATGGGCCGCAGTGCTCCGGCGTGGGCAAGCAGCAGGGGGCCTATTCTGGCCTCCTGCGGGCTCCGGCACGGGCCCGTGGAACTAGTGGGAGGGCTTCTTCTGTCCTCCCACGGGCCGCAGTGCTCCGGCATGGCCCTGGGGAGGTGGCGGGGAACCCTCTTCTGGCCTACCCCGGGGCCACAGCGCTCTAATGCTGGGCTGAGAAACATGGCGGTGGCAAGAAGGCGGGCGAGGCTTGGTCATGTGCCCACCCCTGAGCTCCTCACTCCTGGAGCGCTGCTCCAGTGCACTGCGGGGCCAACCAACCCCTGGGTGTCCCTAACAGATGTTAGCACCCTTAGCAGCAAATGTTTCTGGGATTCTTTGGGGAAAGCCATAACAGCTGAACAGGTATATTCATTTGTACTGTAGATAAGCCCACAGTCTCTAAATTCTGAGGGCCTCTGCTTTCCATTATGCAAAAGGAAGGGAAGGGAACTTGTTTTGCCAATAGAGAGCAATGTCTGAATGAGAACACTGTTTTCACAAATAGTCTCTTTTCTCCTCTAGTGGTATAAGATCACCTATGTGCATTATGGCCTTTCATGCTTGCAGCATGTCCAACTTTTCTCTACTACAATATTGTCTTCTCTGCTTTCACAAGTATCTAGCCAACAATCCACACTGCACACACACATACACACACAAGTGATGAGCTTCACAAACACTGCTATTTTTTATACATATATATCTAGCATACAATCCAGAGACACTAAGGATGTCAGCCTCCAGGTGGGATCTAGGTATCCCTCAGAATTACAGCTCATCTCTAGACCACAGAGATCAGTTCCCCTGGAGAAAATGGATACTTTGGAGGGTAGACTCTATGACTGAGGTCCCTGTCCTCACCAGACTCCATTCCTAAATCTCCAGGAGTTTCCCAACCTGGATCTGGCAGCCCAGCCCCCATCTGGCAGCCCTACACATACCCCATCCTTTCATGTTCACAGACAAAAAGACTTCTCAGGTGAGGCTTCTCAGGTGAGGCTGTTCCTGAGAAAACTGGTGGCCAGAGGGGACCTGGCGGCCCTACACATACCCTGTCCTTTCATGTTCACAGACAAAAATACATCCTTATGAAGCTTCTCAGGTGAGGCTGTTCCTGAGAAAACTACAGCAATTATTAGAGGTAACCAATTATTTTAACAGAACGAGTCCTTTAGTAGTAGTATTTCTGTAACAAAATAAGTCCCCCACAAAGACTCACAGGGAGCAGTGGAAATCTTACTCCCTTTCTAGTCTTCCTCCCTGTGCTGTCTCCACTTTTCTCCCCTCCCACTTGCCATCCTTGCAGGTTCTATCCTGTCCCTGCTTCCTTTCTTCCAGCCCCTTCTTTTGCTCCAATTTTCTTTCTTCCCTTCTTTGACTGTGTCTTTGTTTCCTCTCCTTGCCAATTTTGTCTTTCCTGCCTTCTCACTCCTCTGTCCCTCCAATTTATCTCAGGTTTCAAAATGAAATTGCAGCAGCCATTTTGGATTACCTGTTTGAGGTTGCCTATCCTAAGCTGCCAAGGTCTTGCTAAGTAATATTGTAAGATCATTTTAAAAAGTTCACATTTTTTTATCTTCCTTTTGAATTTTAAGATTTTTCTGCAAACTATAGAGCTTCTCCTGATTTATAGAAACATCTGTTTCTGTGCATGGCCCCATTGTGCAGATGTTTTTGTTCACACTGGGGGCAGGTTCAGAATTATATATAAAAATAATATATTTGTCTATGTGCTTGTCATTGATGTTAAGAATACATATCAGTAGAAGTCTGTTGCAGGAGACATGATGCGAATGATTCCCAGGGTTAGGAAGTTTGAAAAATCACTGACCTATAAGTTTATTGTATTTAATATTTTTAAAATACTGATAGCATTCTTAGAAGCTGTGTTCCTGATTTGCATTCTGTATATACCAATCAAAGTGAAGGACTTGAATGACTTACAATGCTCTTCTCCCCAAATAGGAAAAAAACAAATATTGAAAATTAGAACTACCAAAATAATAGTTCAGTTACTACCTGCCTGTATGAAATTTGTTTTTGAAACCTTACAAATTTTAATTCTTATTTAGCTTGCAGAGTCAAATCCAAAGTATTATTCTTGGCTTTGTGAATTATGTGCTCCTGCTAGAGCACTAAATGGTAACATTGCAAATTGATTTGAGATAAATTGATTAGTGCATGTTGTGTAGCACTGGAAATGAAAAGTTTTTATAGCACTCATCATCTGATTTAAGGATTTAAGGATTTAATTATGTTTGCATTATTTTACACTGTGCTTTATAATCTTTATTTTTAATGAAATGAAACAGTCACTGACAGCAAAATCTAGTGTTATACTATTGTGGTGGCTGACCATTTGTGTTATCTCAGTCCCATATTGCACACACATATATAGGTACACCCATGACACTACATACAGTTATAATTTTATTATTTAACACCTTGAATCTACTTTCGGTATTGCACTTGCCAGGTAGCTCCCTTAAATGTGCGCAGGACCTCAGTGACAGTTTCTTCTCCTGAGCTGAATGGCTGTGCTGCTGACTTACATGGGGCACTATTACACTAGAAAGGCAGAGCAGTTCGTTGGCGGGAAATTGTTCATCAGAACTGCAAGCTGGAAATTTGGGATAATGTTTAATAACAGAGTACCTTGTGAGTGGGGGGAAAGTTTTAAATACCATTCTCTAAACATCACAGTAAATGGCTCATAAATCCTTATAGTCACCATACATTCTCCTACTGCTCAGGGTGATTCACTGCATTGTGGCTTTGAATATAACAGTTATTAGGCTTATAGTTATACATTAAATTCCTTTGAATAACAGTCATTGGCATCATTAGATTAGAGCAAATCAGTACTTTAGTTTTGCATTCAGGTAGTGTGGACCTTGGGAACAGACTACCCCCAATTTATAATTTAAATTGTTAATGGTATAAAGTGTTCAGAATTTGCTTTTTTCCCCTAGGCTCCAAAAAAACACTTGCAAAATGGGATTATTCGAGGATACCAGATTGGTTACCGGGAATACAGCGCAGGGGGCAATTTCCAATTCAACATCATCAGTATCGATACCACTGGGGACAGTGAAGTTTACACTTTAGATAACCTAAAAAAATTCACACAATATGGCATGGTGGTGCAGGCCTGTAATCGCGCTGGAATAGGACCATCTTCTCAGGAAATTATTACAACAACTCTTGAGGATGGTAGGTTGTAAGCATGCAAATAGCATATTTTAATGCTGAAATTTCTTTGTGGTCTAATTACATGTTTTTAGAAAGTATGTATTCATATATTTAATTTCAGTTTGTATACTGTAATCTGATTAGCATTAAGTAGAGGGTGTGATAAAAATGATTGTTTTGTTATCTTGGCAATTTTAGTAAGAACCAGCTGTCTTCACGCCAAAGGAAATGTACTTACTTCAGCAAAACTGACTGTGAAATCCTTTGGACAGAGCTAGGTCTCTGTCTTCCTAGGGCACAACCTCTACCCACTTCAAATTGCTTCATAGGAGTATACCCCTTAATATTTCCATCAGTCCTTTAGCACCAGTGCCATCCATAGAGCAACAACACAGATTAAATGGAATCAAAGCAGTGATACAATATCAGTTGAATGAATGAATGAATGAATTTTATTGTTACGGCGCTTAGCCAGCAATACAATATCAGTTTAGGAGCCTTGTGTTGGATATCTGGGTTTCTGAAACTGGGTGCTGATTTTTATATTGGCCACTGACTATGCAGGAGGCAGTAGGAGTTTCCTGCTAATAATATTTCCTATTATTTACAGTCTTGAATTATTCTTATTCAAGGACCATTTTGACTTAGAATATAAATGCTATTAAATAAAAATGGCTATTTCCCTTCCCAGGCTCAGTTAGTTGAGAACCATAGCTGGACTAGAGAACTTGAATTTACCAACCTATAATCACACATGTCACTTTCTAACAATGCCAAAATAAATTACCTGTGGAATATTTCTAGATAATTGAGATAACCCTGCATAGCATATCTGTTCTAAATCAATGATAGAGAGCCCTCTTGTGGGAAAAAGGGATTTTTCCATTATTGAAGCAAGTAGTGGAAAAACATGTACTAATATGACTAGTCAAGCATGATCCCATGGGAGAAATTCTCAGATGTTTTAAACAGTCAAAGCACTCTTAAAATGATCAGCTGAGGATGATAGTCCTGTGTAAACTAATTAAATAACAAAAAGCTTTTACATTTCTTGAGTGTTTCTTTAGATAAAGCTTTACAGAATGGCACTGCTCTTTATTGATGTACTAGGAATAAGGCCCGTTGTGGAAATAAATACAATGAGCTCTAGAAAGAGACTCTGGGAGACTGCGAAAACCTTGGGCACTCAGCATCAATGTGCTGTGGCGGCCTCAGCAGGGTATAATGACACAGAGTGCACCATTTTCTCCAGAGGAACTGATCTCTGCTACCTGCTTTTTTAGAGGGACAGTGAGACCCCTCTGGCCGAATCTCCCTATTTGGAGATGGAATCCCCAATCTTTGGGGATCTCTGGAAAGTTGGCAACCCAAGGGTCTGGTCTTTCCTTGCTTCCCTGGGCTCCCCTTTGGTATTGTGCAGAGCAGGGGAGACTATGTGATCAGAGCACAACACAGATTATTAGCCCAAGAATTTATTTAACTATTTACACAGTTATGGAGCACACAAACTGTAGGAGTAAGCACACACTATGATGAACCAACAGAACATAAATAAACAGGGGGTTAAACACAATCCTCTTTCCTTACACACAATGCTCTCTGCCTCTGGAGGTTGTGGGCTCACCTGTACTTCAGCTTCTCTCTCTTGACCAAGAGAGCAGGGAAACTTCCATTCATTCCCCAGTCCAGCCGACTGTGAAGTGACTGAATTTCTGCTGCTCCTAGGGACAAAGACTGCCTTCGGACAGTCCCTGTTTTCCCACATTTTTTTGGCCTTGAAGCCAATGCTCCCTCTAAGCCACAGAGTCTTCTGAGCAAAAATTCTACTTTGTGAGCTACCTGCACTAAAGTTGTGAGTGAGCAGTTTGGCTACTGCATAAATTAGTTTGCTCTGGAGCCATCCTTCCTGAGCTAAGACAAAAATGTGTGAGCTGGAGGCTAGAAGTCTGTGAGCTAGCTCACACTAACTCAGCTTAGAGGGAACACTGCTTGGGGCAACTGGGAACTGTAGGCCAGCAGATGAGAAAGCCCCATTCAGGTCAGTGAGTGATACCCTTGCAGGCCCCTCTCTGGAACTACAGCTCAATTAAACCTTATGGGGGAACATTCTAAACAAATAACCACAGCCATCTTACAAACACAGGTAACTGCTATTTCGTGACACCTACCAACAGCCACTGAGGGGAAAGTTAGTTCCACACAGAACAAGCATCTTCGTCAAGAGAGAAAGCTGTTTGCCAGTAATTCTGACAGGGCACAGGGATGAGGAGCAGACCCAGCACCTGGCCAATGGCACGCGAGTACTCTTGAGTGGCGGCTGACGAGCCAGTGGCTGAGGGAGAGCATGGAATGTTGCCACTCGAAAACAGAATTATTATATAGAGATATATTTGTTTTTTTACTCAACTTGATACTGCTGGGAGATAGTCTTAGCACTGTTATGTGAGGTCCCAGAACCTAGTAAGAGCCAGATATTACTCTGTATACCCAAAGGTTTACAAATATTACCTGTGTCACAGCTAAGACACTCCCCATATGCAACCATGATTTTCAGTTGCTCAGTCTGGAGTGGGGAAGGTACTACAAGCATCTATAAATGTTTCAATCACTGGCAATGGGAGTCCTGTATGAGTAAAGGACTCTTGTTTGCTGGCATTGTATTTAAAATATTCCTGAGCTAGTTTTGATAGCTATCCAACTATTCTTAAACATCCCTTCCTCCAAGGTACATGGCAACTTTCCCCCTATTTTATTAGCACAATAACCTTGTGAGATAATTCCAGGTGGTCAGCTGTGTTAGTCTGAAGCAGCAGAACAATTTTAGAGTCCAGTGGCACCTTTAAGACCAACTAAGGTTTATTCAAGGTGGCTGTGTTCAGACGGACAGTTCAATCCACTGTTGCCCTGCCTCTAATTGAGCCAGGTTATTTTCTCCTGACCAGACTCACCCCTTTTAGCACTCTTCAAAGCGCTTTTACGTGATCAGACAGCAGCAGGCAAGGAGTCAGCCTGTCAGCCATCTTTTAAAAAAGTTTGTACTCGGAGCATGCCCACAAGCACTGATCAGCCTGCTGGTATATATTAGGTCATGGGGTTGCTGGCCATTTTTTAAAAAAGTTTGCCCTCTGAGCATGTACACAAGTGCTTGCTGAGACTGATGGGATATGGAGTTCACCCTCTAATCCAGGGGTGTCAAACTCATAATTTATGAGGGCCAGATCTGACATAAATGAGATCTTGTTGGGCCGGGCCATGTGTCATAAAATGTAATGCCAGGTAACGGAGATATAAACTTTATAAAGGACACAAACACAAAGGGTTTTTTTAAAACTTAAAATAAAAACATGCTTAAAACATTGGCACTCATGCGATATTTTCTTTATTTGTCTGATAACTGACACCTCTTGCTCTGAATTATTACAATAAAATGTCTGTCCTGTTGCAATCTTGAGTATGCTGTTCAGGTGTGTATCTGTAAGCTGCAAACCTACAATGACACAGCAGCAGCAGAACTGGAAGAAGAAGCAGAAGACAGCCAATTCCACTGTGGGCCTGATAGAAGTCCCCTGGGCCGCATGTTTGACACCCTTGCTCTAATATTTTCAATTCACCCCTTCCCCAAAGGACAGGAAAAAAGCTGTCTTTCTTTGAGAGTTTTTAAAATGAAAACAAAGTTTTGAGCAGCCCCTGTGGGGAGGGGTGAGAGAGAGAAAGTTTCGTATATGCAGTTATGTGCTCCTCGCTAACTAGTAAAACAGAATGGCAGCTGGAAAACAAGAGACCAGTCAGATCTGCCTGACAACTTGGGTGCGCAACAGAGCAATAAGACAGCAGGACCAGACTTTCTCCGGTATCAAAGAAATACGCAGCGGGGAGAGTGGGACTCAGTTGACTGCGTCACGACAGACAGATGTTGCTGTCTGAGCATGCACTTTAAATCCATAAGGGAACAGCAACGGGTGAAACTGCCTGTCTGAATGCAGCCAGTATGAGCTTCCGTGTGCATGCACACTTTTTCAAATACATTGGAATGGAAGGTAAGGGTTCTTCATCATGGTACATGTTAATTTGCTGTTCAGCCTCTGCCTATAAGTTTGAACCCTTACCTTCCATTCCAATGTATTTGAAAAAGTATGCATGCACATGGAAGCTCATACCTTGAATAAACCTTTCTTGGTCTTAAAGGTGCCACTGGACTCTAAATTTGTTCTTGTGAGATAAGTCAACATATGAAAGACTGACCGCAAGGTCACCCAGTAAGCATTGTGGCTCAATAAAGCTACAACTTGAGTTTCCCAAGTCTTAGTCCAACCACCATAACTGCACTGAGTGACTGCTTAAACAACTCCAGATGGTGTTTTTCTACAATAATAGCTCATCCTTTGGTGAAAATATTTTATGCTTGTTCAGACCAATGAAAACAGGTGACTTGTTCAAATATTAATGTTAACTATTTGTTGTTATGTGTTCAGATGCAGGCATATAAACAGACAAAACATTAGTGATGGAGACGGACCGGGAAATCCTGGTTCAGTCCAGGGCTCATGAGCCAGGTGGCTCTAGACTGAACCCCCAAGCCCAAAACCCCGCCCAAACAGACCCTATTTGGGCAGTGTCAGGCCCCGCCCTGGCATGCCCACATTACCTGGAAGCAATGCACACCTGCCATCTCGGGTGGTGTCAGGCCCTGGCCCCCAGCATGCCCATGTTTTCTGAAAATGACGCAAGTGCATCAGTGATGTGTTTGCATCACTTCTGGGTAATGTGGCCAGGCCAGGCCAGGGCCCACACTGGGCAAAGTCCAGGTCGGGCTTTGGCTCGGTGTTCAGGTCTGTGCCCATCCCTACAAAACATTATACACAAGTTGCTGCATGTAAAATATAAACGTGAACTGATTACCATTCCATCCATTGTTCTGCTAAATGCTTTGTTGATATGCATATGAGTAATGTAAATGGAGCTGCGGTGGCTCAAGTGGTTAAGACACTGAACTGCAGGCTGTGGAAGGTCAGTAGTTCAGCTGTTCAAGACCCGGGTGCCGCAAGACGGAGTGACCTCCCGTCTCTAGTTCCAGCTCCTGCCAACCTAGCAGTTCGAAAGCAAGAAATTGCAAGTAGATAAATAGGTACCGCTTTGGTGGGAAGGTAACAGCGTTCCGTGTGCCTTGGTGTGTAGTCATGCCGGCCACATGACCATGGAAATGTCTTTGGACAGCGCTGGCTCTTCGGCTTTGAAACGGAGATGAGCACCGCAACCCTAGAGTCGGATTCGACTGGCTTTCGAGCAAGGGAACCTTTACCTTTACCTTTTTAATGTAAACCAAGGAGTGCAATGAAAGGAGCAACTTCACAGTCTTTGTTCAGTGAGGATAGCAACACCTGGATGGAAAACACATAGTATTTTCATGGCATTTCAAGGCAATTCAGCCTTTGGCCCGCTTCTCATATGGCAAAAATAGTGGCTTATGGTCACTTGCAATAGAGGTGTGTCAGCAAATAACGGTCCTGTGGCACCCTTTCAGGTTGGAAAAACAGAATGGGGGGTGAAGGCAGGAATCACCATAGTGGTCCCAACCAGAATTGGGGCCCTGTGGCACTGTCAAAAGGAGTTCTACAGTGGGAACTCACTCTGTAAAATGACAGCACATTGTTGGGGCAAACATGGGGATGGTTGTCTCATCTCATTTAGCCCCTAAGTATTGACTGTAGGGTGCAACATCATCAGTTTGTCTGCCTTGCATTATAGAATTGGGCTTAGAAATAGTATTTTCATTTATATTCTCTACAAACTTACCTAAGAAAACTAAATAATGCATTTTATATTTTTTTCATTTTTCATTAGTACAAAAAGTCACAATTAAAAATGATGTTCTCATTTCAGTTCCCAGTTCCCCCCCAGAGAACGTTCAAGCTATTGCTACATCACCAGAAACCATCTCAATTACCTGGTCTACTCTTGCCAAAGATGCCCTCAATGGAATATTACAGGGATTCAGGGTTATATATTGGGCTAACCTTTTAGATGGCGGTAAGTATCCTTGTACCACAGTACTAGAATTCTCCATTTGTGTATAATGTTTTCTGATGCTTCCTGGGCATAAGAAAACATTTGGCAGTGTATTAAACAGGAAGATAGTAGTGATCTAGCAGGGCCAGGATGCTCTTCATAGCGCTATCCTGTATCTTTGTAGCTTGTGATATTGGTTAGGCAAGTTTTTATTCTGACCCAGTAAAGTTTTCTATGACCCTTTACAAACGATTAATATTTTTCATTTACCTATACTGCTATTTCTGAAATAAAAATATCAGGAAAGTAAAAATATGGTTTCATAATATTTTCAAATCAAAATAATTTAGCAGCCTGTATTTATTTCTAAAAATAGTATAATGAGCCTAAAATGATGCATTAATAACTTCAAAGTGTTCTGCATGTTTATTTTTCTCTGTAAGACAGATGTGGTTTTTATGATTAAATGTAGACTACAGGCATTTAACATTATTATGATTTAATAATAATAAACTTTATCCTTGCTAGAGTTACATATTATAATCCAGCAATTTCTTGCTCATACTCACAGTGATATAATTATCCCTCAATAGGAGAAGAATGGCACTGCCACTAACTCAGTTTAATTTTCTGCTCCCTAGAGCTGGGGGAAATTAAAAATGTTACCACCACGCAGCCCTTGTTAGAGCTTGATGGCCTGGAAAAGTACACAAACTACAGCATCCAGGTGTTGGCATTCACACGAGCTGGAGACGGTGTCAGGAGTGAGCAGATTTTTACACGCACAAAAGAGGATGGTAAGTCATGGAGCAGTGCTGCTGGGTTATATTCAGTTTTTCACAGCTCAGCATGCCTTGCGTACAAATATATATAAAGGGCACTTCTGTATGTCTACACACCCAATTCTGGGTGAAGCTGATCTGTCCAGAAGGACTCTGATCTGTAAGATATAAGTATGTTCTATAGTATCTTCCTTGGAGGTCAAGTACTGGGAAAAGAGTAAGGCTACCACAAGCTCCACTAGGCTATGTAAGAGGGCCAGCCAAGAGCCGAGGGGCTCAACGAGTCTGTGGTCAGCCATTGCTCAAAAAGCAGCACAAACGTCAAATGATCTGTGTGTGTGTCTGTGTGTTTGGACAAAGTGAACTTGGCAAGGCTTGGGAGCAGTAAGAGGTCAAGCAGAGCCAGGGCCTCATGCTAGATCTGCTGAGGAAGGGGCAAATGCACAGGAGATGCTTTATTGGCAAGAAGTTGGAGTTATACTTGGGGGGGGGCAGTGGCCAGTCACTGCAGCCAAAAGCTCCAGCCCAACCCCCATAAATAGTTCTGATTCAGGACTGCCTGCTGCCAATGAGCCTGACTCCTAGGCACACGATAGTTAGCATATGACTATCTAACTGCACATGTGCACATCCAGTGCATTCCAGAGAAATGTTTATTGCAGTCTTAAAGTGAGCACAAACTACAAATCATTTTTTTTTCCATTTTGATCAGTATTCGGAAATTCATTTTGATCAAAATAACTGCAGAATATTGAACTTGTTCAAATCAAATTTAAGATGAAAATGACCAGCATACATTTCTATTTCTTTCCATATGGAAAAGCTGCTTTTTAGTTCCAGATGGTGCTGCTCACCCTAACAAATCTTGAATCATGATTCCTAAAAAGGAAGGTACTTTGCCTTTTGTCTTGTGTATTCAAGATCCACTACTATATAATGTAAAGACAAAGAAGGCTATAGGGTTACTCACAATGTCACAAAAGAAGCATGCTGTGCAGCCATTTTTTAAAATTTTATTTTATGATTTTAAACATACAACAACAACAATACAGTCAAACAACAATTTAACGAGAACCAATAAATGTTTAATGTAAGCAGGGAAACTACCCAATTTCACAAGCTGGCTGGCTTAATTTTGATATCCCCATTTTGATTTTGTTGCTGTTGTTCAGAAACAGATCTAATCTGTGAGTTTTTATTTTTCTCTCATGTTCTTTTTTTATGACAAAATATTTCCAATTTTTTAAAATTTCTGCATCAATAAATCAGCATTATATAGCTGCATTTATAAAACCATTTATAAAGCTATGTATAAATACCATATCAACTGCAATAAAATGTGTAAAAGAAGCAAACAGATCAGCAACACCAACAGTGAAAATAGATGGTCATAAACATTCCCAATGACAATGTGGAAATAAAAAGGCACATTTGCTCACTAGGTAAAAGGCTTTCCCAGAGAGTTCTGGAATAAGAGAAATCTGTTTATGTTTTACAAACACATGGTATTGTGACAAAGGGTTCTTTAAAAAAAGAAGTCCCATTAGCTAACATGTATGGCATCCCTAAAGTGTTTTTTTTAATGTTGACAACCAATACCTTTCCCCCCTGCTAATCATCTAGCTCAGCCTGCTTTTTTGACCCCATATGGATTGGTCTTATTAAATCTTCTCTTTCCTTTACTGGATCCTCTGGCACACCAGAGGCTGCCCATTTCTGATCTTTGCTTGTGGGTGATAGGGGCCAATTTGTTCGGGTGGTCTGGAAACCTAAGTGTGTAGGGTTGGATGTACATTAACATTTGAACCATTCCAGTCTTTTATACATTCACTGCATGGTCTGTGAACTTCCTAAGTGCCTTAACTTCATTATTGATCTTTGGCATCAGTGGAATATTTGGCTTAGAAAATCAACAGCACAATACATCCTGTCCAAGGGATGTAAATTCACTTTTCTCTGTAATCTGCTTAAATCTTATCAGATGCAGATAGTTTTATGGAAATATGGCGTACATAGATGAGGTATGTTATGGTGGGGGTTAGGGTTAGGGTTAGGGTTAGCACTTCATGTGCTAGAAGTAATCCACACTGGCAAGGAAAAGATTCCAGGAGCAATGTGTGTTTGTTATCATGCTCAGTACTTGGTTTTTGACACCAGAGGTCAGGCATGTCCCCACTTGAATTTATGAAAAAGAAACCACTCTTACAGAATACAAAATGAGGTCTATTTTTAAGATTTGCATTATTTTTGTGTGTCCCCCCCCCAAGATATCTGCAGGGGGGAATACTGTTCTTGTCCAGGATGTTCCTGGCACTGTGAAACTTGCAGCAGAAATGTCTGGCTGTTTTGAGAATGTGCTCCATTTATCTCCTTAGCTTGGAGTTCCTTCTATACTTTAAATAGAGTCACTTATTAACCAAGTGTCTTTCCACCTGAGGATTTATTTCACTGATCGTTAAAATTTAAATAGACACTCATTTTCTTACCACACTGTAGGCTTAAATTGCATTTTTGCATTTGATGGCATGGGGTTTGAATGATTGCATTCATTAGAAAGGATGCATTATAAAATCTTAATTAAAACAATGAATCTGTGTTCCTTATTTGACAGACCAGCCATGGCTGGTGAAATTGAGTGTACACATGAACACAGGAAGCTGCCTTATACCGAATCAGACCCTTGGTCCATCGAAGTCGGTATTGTCTGCTCTGACGGGCAGTGACTTTCCAGGGTCTCAGGTAGAGGTCTTTCACATCATGTGCTGACAGATTCTTGTAACTTGAGATGCCGGGGATTGAATCTGGCAATTGCTCTATAACTGAGTCACGGCTGCTTACTAGTGTAGTCCAGTAAATGGCACCGATGTTCACCTGTTGGAATCTAGCATTAATTCATTCCAGGCTAGTTTGTTGGGCTGACCTAAGGTGGCTCACAGATTTAACATAAGAACATAAGAGATGCCAATGTTGGATCAGGCCAAAGGCCCATCCAGTCCAACACTCTGTGTCACACAGTGGCCAGAAATACCAGTGCCATCAGGAGGTCCAGCAGTGGGGCCAGGACATTAGAAGCCCTCCCACTGTTGACCCCCCCCAAGCACCAAGAAGACAGAGCATCACTTGCCCCAGAGCCCCTAGCTATACCTTGTGGCTAATAGCCACTGATGGACCTCTGCTCCATATGCTTATCTAATTCCCTTTTGAAGCCATCCATGCTTGTAGCACCCACCACTTCCTGTGGCAGTGAATTCCAAGTGTTAATCACTCTTTGGGTGAAGAAGGACGTCCT